AGGGTCGCGCCCGCCCCGGACCGGGACCGACAACGGGATCGCAAACCTCGGTGTTGCGCCCGCACCTCGCTCAGCCAGTGAGCGGGAACCGGTCTGTATGTGGGATCCGAACCCTCGGCGGGAGCGCCACCATGCTCCTAAGCGGCGCACTGTAGCAGTGCGCCACCAGGCCGGCCCGACAGCTTCTATTCTATTCTAACAGAATATGTTTTCTGTTCACAAATATATAGGATCTGCCTTTGTGCTTTTTTGGAAATTCATAAATTACACATTGTCACAGATTTTTGGTATAACTTTAAATAACGGTGTATTTGCAGTTCTTCTTCTGTCCTGTAGCATCCATAATCTCATAATCTCCCCCCATATCTAATTAATGTCCCTTGACACGCCCAGGGGTGTCAGATATTGAATTCAGCTTCCTTATTTGCCCCAGTTCAGAAAATGAATTGTCCATTGTTCTAAATTTAGATAACTTACCTGTGACAATTATAACTTACCTGTGACAATTTCCAGGCTGTTGTTTATACATACTGGGAGCATATTAAGGGCATTGAGGAACATAAAAAATTTAAAAAGCAAAACTTGAACTCCAGTTCTACAGATTGGAATATAAGGCTATTTCTGGAATGATTCACACACACATCATCGGCCAGTGAGCAGAAGAATTTTGTTCTTGATTGATTTTTTGTATAAACTTGTAAACTAATTCTAGTTTATAAACTAAGCCTAATTATGCTGAAACTGTTCTAACTTGGTAATGTGAATTTGGGATCACTGACAACACATTGGCTCTGGAGTCAGATGGACCTACATTTGAACCCTAGCTCTCTCATTTTGTAGCATTTCAAATGAAGGAAAATAACTTAAACTTTTGAGCCTCTGATCCACTGGGGATAATAATATCTGTGTCATGTTGTTGCTGTGGGGATTAAATATAAATATAGAGTTCCCAGTGCTGTGTCAGGTGCATAGTAGGAGATTTATAAATGTAGTTTCCTTTCCACATTTTTTTTTGTTTTTTGTTTTTCCAAGAGCAGGAAATAGTTGATGGACCCAGTTAAGATCATTAGTATTGTTGATGAGCTGAATTCACAATTAGACAGTTCCAGTGACAAATAACTAATGATAAATTGGTCATAAATTGTGTGACAATTTACAACTGCAACATCAACAAAAAGAAAAGTACAAGGAAAATTATGCTGGAATAGCAATGCATATGATGTCAGTGGGCTTCTGACAAGAGAGGCTTTCTTGGTTGTTGTATAGATTCAGATGCACAGACCACTGCAAATCTCATGGTGTGTTGCTAGGAATCAGGAGTTCTTTAAAATTTTTTTTTTATTTTGATGATAATATTTAAAAATTATTTTACTATTTATAGCCATGAATATTTTCTTTTGCAATAATTATTTTCATGAAACTTTTTTTCTTCATCTGAAAGTCGGTGTTTCAAATCAGAAAACATATACTTGGGGACCATTATACATATCTATATATTTTTTTCTTCTAGAAATTTCTGAGAAATATTGATTTATACTACTATGATTTTTTAGAAAGGACAGCATAATGAGAGTGTCATGGTACTAGCAGTAACAAAACATAGATTTAGACTTGGCTTCTGTTATAAAACCATAGTGTTTCAATCTTGCAAAATCAAACTTTACCAAATGAGTTATGAAAATGAAAATTGGTAGTTCATACTAAGGACATTTTGGAAAAATATATTTTATCTAAAAAAATGTTAAAATAATAAAAGGAAGTATCTTACTAGTATACTAAAATGCACATATTAAGTAAACATCTTAACCAAATGTTGCATTCATTTTATAATTGGCATTTCTAACAGAATTTTTTTTTTACTTGAAAATGACATATGACTGTATGGTCTTTGTTTTTTCACATCTGTCTTTTTCTGTTTTCGTAAGTGTATAAATAAAGTTACTCCTCTTTCTGTTCTGACTTTGTGCTGCCTGTAGAAACCTCAGTCATCAGTGTCCTTGAATTGGTAGTTGCTCCTGTTTGTCAGTCCCACATAAGGACAACAGAACATCAGGAGATCGCAGCAGTAAGAGCCATCAACACCATGTTCTGCACGAAGCTGAAGGACCTCAAGATCACAGGGGAGTGTCCTTTCTCCGTATTGGCACAAGGTCAGGTTCCTAAAGAGCCAGCAGAGGAGGTAGCAGGAAGCTCAGAAGCAACTCTGCCCATCTGTCAGGACATTCCTGAAAAGAACATAAAAGCAAATCTTCCTCAAAGAAAGACCAGTCGGAGCCGAGTCTATCTTCACACTTTGGCAGAGAGTATTTGCAAACTGATCTTCCCAGAGGTGAGAGCTTGCCCTTTAGATACTTTCATGATTTTTTGAAATTGTTAAAAAGAAAACGTTTTTTCTAAGGAAAATGCCTAGAAACACTCGCCTTCTCACTTACGAGGCTATAATAAATATATTTTATATGTAAATATATAATAGGCTATTTCCTTGAAACACAAAAACATTCTTCTAAAGCAATGATGTTTTTAAATTGTATCTAATCTTCAAATGTTTAGCATCTTGAATTCTTTTCAAAAGGATCCTGCATTCTGACAAGCTTTATGTCTTTTGGCAACTGCTTAACCCCTATTAACCTCATCTTCCTTATCTATAAAATGGAAATAATAACAGTACCTACCTACCAGAGTTTTAATGAGTATTAAGCAAAGTCATCCATTGTTCTTGTGATACTGTAAGTACTCAATAGTTGCTAGCCATTATTTTAAAATTAAATCTCTTGAGAAATATTAATGTATTTTCTGTGGGTATTCTTCTTCTAATTCCAAAGAGCTTTATATGTTCCCTGAAAATTTGCAGATGTGCAAAAATCATTTTTTGCCTGCTGGCTCTGAGGCTGAAGTCTTTGCTTACATCAGGCTTGACTTGCTTCCTTGGGTCAGAGTCATGAGCCTGTGATTGTTTACCTCTGTGTGTTGTTAGCTCTGACACTTCTTGATATAGCCCTGCAAGCTACATAGCATTATGTCATTTTGAAATCTGTGACAGCTTCTGTCAATCCACCTTTAAGAGAACTCTAGGAATAAGGTATATACCCAAACAGGTTAAGTATCTTAGGAGTAGAGAGGGTACGTAGAGCTCTTCTCCCCCTGCAGAGCTAAAGAGAAGAGCTGTTGAAGTCCTCATGACGCCTTCTTCCCTTTGTCAGTGTTCACAGTTTTATATACACTTACTTGACCTATGAGGTTGGGCATGGGTATCATCAGACTTCAGCTGTCAAGTCATTGATCATTTTTAATTAACTCAAAACTGACCCTCTACTTTGTGCAAAGCACTGAAGAACACAGACTCACTGACTTTTAGGACTGAAAGTAATTTCAGAGGTAATCTTGATTTATCCCCAGGAAGTGCTAAGGAAGTTAAGTCACTTGACTAAAGTCAAACAGTTTTCAAAGAGTAGAGCCATTACTGCTGTAGACAATGTAGACTGGAGTGCCCGAGAAAAAAAGAGACTTAGCAAAAAGGAGGGAGCTTATTTCAAATATAATATTATTTTATTATTATTTATTATTATTAATATTATCTTCAATATATTATTTTTATTAATTATTATTATTATTAATATTATTTAGTCATACTTTGGCTAATGGACTTTGAAGTGGAAATATGACTCTCAGCGTACTCCTGTCATTAGACAGCCAGCTTTGGCTAGGATCAAGAATGCAGACCTTCTCAAGGAGCTGGTTTGCATCACAGTCAAAGAAGCAGCTGGTACTTTCATTTCCAAGAAGAGAGTGAGATGCACAGAGATGTGCAGATGGTGATGGTGGGGAAGCTGGATAACGTCCATGCTTTCCCTGAGTTGACTTCATTATTTTGTTTGATAAATTTTGAATTCCCATGATAGGAGTCATACACATGTTGGAATTTCTTTTTAGAATATTTTGGTTTGCTTCATGGTCTCCCAAAAAACCCACTGGCTTTCTATACTCCTTTTTATTCTTTTTTTCTTTTTGCTCCTTTGACTGAATAATTTCAAATCACTTTTCTTTGAGTCTGCTGATTTTATTGAGTCTGCTGTTGAAGGTTTCTATTGAATTTTTCAGTTCAGTTAGTATATTCTTCCACTCCAGGATTTCTATTGTTTTTTTTTTTCTGTATGGTTTCTATCTCTTTGTTCATGTTCTCATTTTGTTCATGTATAATTTTTCTGATTTTGTTTAATTGTCTACGTGTGTTCTCTCGTAGATCACTGAGCTTCTTTAAGATTATTATTTTAAATTCTTTGTCAGGCAATACAGAGTTCCCCATTTCTTTAAGTTGGTTTACTGAAGATTAATTTTGTTCCTTTGGTTGTGTCACATTTACCTGATTCTTTTTGTTCCTTGTAGCTTTGCTTTGGTGTCTGCCCATGTGAAGAAACAGCCACCCTTTCTAGTCTTTATGGACAGGGAAATACTTTCACCAATTGGCCTAGCTAGAGATTCCTTTCAGACCTTTTCCATGGATGTGCATATTCCATCCTTTTCCCTCTTTCCTGGGGGAGAAGTTTCAGGGTTATGTGCCTTCTCCCAGTCTTGAAGAGATGTGCAGGTAGCTATAAACTGGGAGTTATAAACACTCCTTATGGGAGTGTACTGAAAGGCCAGAATGGAATACCAAAATAAGATATAGTTTACTTTTTCTTTGTTTGGAATGAGCTTTATTGTTTGTTGATGGGCTCATAAAAATAATAATCAAGGTTTGACTACAGCATCTTATAGCAGACAGGAGAAGATTATAGGAACTCTAGCAGGTAGAAGAAGTACATTTGGCCTTAGTGACTAGGAATCCACTAAGGCCATTTACCTTATGAAAGTAAATGTTCTAATGTTGAATACATATGAACTGTGTAGTAATCAATCTAGATTACTCCTTCAACTGTCCAAACAGCTACCTGTCTGTTAAATAACTATTTTTTTCCTGATTCTTTTTCTTGTTGACATATTTAATGTTTAGCATACTGTTTAGTTTCAGTTCTATTAATAATCCAAAACACAGAGACTTAAAGTAGCATTTGGCAACAGAGTTTTTGCTTGAGATAATCAGATTCATCTCTTCAATTATGTTTTTATGGGATGGTGAGTATTAAAAGTCATTACCCTTGGCAAATTTAGAATGGGAGATGTCATCTCAAAGTAGTAGAAGACACAGGTACTTTAACATGACACAATTATCTATCCTTCATCAAGCCAAAAGATAATTGTTCTTTGGCTTGAAACAAGCTTGAGAGTGACACCTTAGTTACTTTTAGTGTCCTTTCTGTGAGTCAGAAATTTCGCAACTCACAACACTTCAGGATCCAAGGGTTGTAAACTTAAGAAGAAGGACTCTGTTCCTCCAAAACTCAAAACAGAGGCCCTCTCAAACATAAGGGAGTTTGAATGCTGGGCAACTAAAACACCTACAGAAGACTGTTACGTGGTATTTATAAGTATGTGAATTGTAAGGAATGAATTTTGAAGGAAATAATAGATTCAGTCCTAAAATACTATACTAAACTAAAAATCAGTATGTAGAACTCTTGGGATATGGAGTAGTCCTACAGTGGTTGATTTCATGTCATAAGGTCCTGAAGTTGGCTGTCTGTGACAGGTCTCACTTAAAGTTGAGCCTTGCCGATGGCTTTATTGTGGACTCATGTCAACTCAGAGTCTGGGCTCAGGATATCTTACAGGAAGCACAGCACCAAGGTAGGAAACTCTATGCACCACCAGCCTTTACCCATTAATGTTTACCTGGAAACGTTGTGGGTTTTGTTTTGTTTTGCCTTGCTTTGAACTTACAACAGTTTTCAAGAAGAGCAAGGGAATGAGATGAAGGTAGAATCCCACAAAAGTCTATCAATCCATAATATCACTATAATATGCTAATAATGCTTTGCCAGGACTTCAGCACTTTTTTCTTAAGCAAAATAACTTCTGATTTAAAAGAGAAAGTCGGGAATTCATCTGCTCCACCAACCCCAGCAATGGGAAGAGGGTCCATTTCTCCTTCCCTCTTACAATGACAGCATCTATGTTAGGAGGAAAGGACGAGAAAAAAATGTTTCTGGTGGCAGTGAGCAAGAAATGAAAGACCAAGAGGCTCTTCACTGAACAGAGTAAAATAGTTTAATCAGAAAAGTAAAGAGGACAAGAATGATAATGTCTCCAGGGTCACTGGGAAGGAGGGAGGAATAATTCTTCAGTGACAGAATTGTTTAGATTTTCTTTCCTCATAGCCCATCAAAAGTTCGAGGTCAGAACAGCAATTCATATAGAAACAAATATAATTCATATTATTTTATATTGGAAACAACCTAAATTTGTTTGTAAGCAAACTAAGAGAATAACACCTCTGTATTTAGCTATATCACTGCACTTATAAAATTTTATAGATTAAGCCCTCAAGACTTTGAATAGCTGACAGAGGGAATGCCATTAGTCATTCATTCATTCATTCATTCATTCATTCACAAATATGTACTGAATATCTCCTGTGGGCAGGACCTGTGCTAAGTTCTGGATATATGGTGGTGTATAAAATAGGTACTCCCTGACCTTTTGGAGCTTCTATTCCAGTGAAGGAGATAGATAATAAGAAAAAAAGGTCAGGTAGCAAATGCTATAAAGGGGAACTTCGAGCTCATGCACAAAGGCAGCAGCTCTCATTTTATCGATGACTCCTTTTTCCACATGAATATGTTTTACAGTAAGAAAGAACTCACAGCAGCCTATTATTCCAAGGGTGTGTATCCACACTAATATTTTGGTGCTAATAATGCTACAGTGACTTTCTACCAAGTAGAAGGCTCTTAAGAAATTTAAACTTTTTAAGCACCCTGGCTGATCTACCTCATTTCTAGTCTCACCACTTTAAGATTACCATCCTCTTTCCTTGATGTGAAAGACTACTGAGAAGCATGCCCATATTTTCCATCCTGAACATGTTCCTCACTTGCCAGACTTCCTGCCCTCTGCTGTCACATAGCCCACTAGGACCTTGCTCAGAATCCGCCCTCTGGATGTGTCCCCTGCCAGCCTTTCTTTCATCATATGGCAGATGTATCCTCCCTGTCTATACTTGAACAGTTGGAAAAGTTATTGTACACTGTAAACTTAAATTTAAATTTCTTTTTAGTGATTGCATTTTTTTTTCAGTAAATTTTAAAATTCTCTTCTAAGCTTTATATACATTTCTAAACCTGAAAGCTCTTTTCATAACTCATTTTGTTAACACAGAATCTTACTCTAATCTGCTTAACTCCATTCCCTCACTTGACTAGTGGAAACTCTACAAGAAATATAAATAGTTCTTATGGAAAAAGTAATTTCCCAACTTGGAACATAGCCAAAAAATTCTTCACTTTCCTCTGGGTAAACTACAGAAAGAATCAGTTGTTATATACACATGTAAATACATACAGTTTTTACATGGAATGCAAAATAATAATAATAATAATAACTGGCAGCACTAATAATCAATTAGTTAGAGACAAAGAGCTGTTAAGAGAGAGAGTCAACAAGTGTTTGTTAAGTATGGAGGCCTACATACAAATATCTTGCAAAATAGGGAAACTCATGAAATACTCATAAATCAATAAAAGAGAATAAAGCTGAATTTGGTGAAGATTATTAGTTCAAAGAAAAAAGTCAGTAGAAGTTAAGGTAAACCCAAGACTCCTTTCAAATAAATGACCAACTGATGTTGGCGACAGACTGGATTTAAGAGATTAACAAAAATGGAAGAGATAGAGATATCTCCAGAGTTTTCTAGACTAGAAGATAAAAGACATAAATATGAATGTGTAGTTAAGGGCAGAGAGTCACTGGGGTGGCCAGGTATAGAGTTTGAGAGGAGCAGGGATTTGTGTAGCTTGAGCCAGGCTGAGGCCAAAATATTGGCAGTGCATCCAAGGGGGTTTTCTGACCCAGACGATATAGAAGACCTGACATTACTGAACTGGAGTCTTCTGTTTGGATTCAGACCCAACTTGACTGTTCTGCGGCTGTCGGAGAGACTACCCACCAAGGACAAGGCCTGTGGGCCACAGACGCATCCAAATGCAAATTAATCTGAACTCATTGTTTCTTCTCAAGTTTGAAAAACCCATAGAAAATCATTCTCAGTTTCCAAAGTGTAAATTCACTACACTTCAAATAATAATGTTTCTGCTTCTTCATAAGAAACTTTCAGAATTAATTTTTAAAATGCTGTATGTGTCTTTGAATAAATTATTATTAAGAGAATGTTTAAAGCATTTCTTTTCAATTTTCAGTTTGAACGGCTGAACCTTGCACTTCAGAGAACATTGGCAAAGCATAAAATAAAAGAAAACAGGTAAGTGAAACCACTTTAGTTGTGTGAACCTCCTATGACAATCACTAATACTGCTACTAGTAGCCAACACTTATTGAATATATGAACATTTATTGAATCATTGTGGTATGCCAGACATTAGACAAAGTGTTTTAACTGCTACTAATTTGAAAGTAAGTACATTTATTTTTCACATTTTATAGATGAGTAAACTTAGGTTTATATAAAATATTTAAGATTTTATTGCTGTTTAGGAAAAGTCAGAGCAGGGGTTCAAGCCTGCATTTTTCAGAGCCCATGATTTTAACCATGTTACCGTATACTGCTGCTTTTAATAAGCTGCCAGAAGGCCTATTCTTTCATTCTAAGGGGTAATTTCTAAAATATTTAACAACAGGTAAGGCTTGGATCCCAAACAATCAGAAGACTTCTTGCCTGAAGGATGCTGCCCAAAGGTTGAAGCAGTGTCCCAGAACTGTCCTGACCTGTCCCCCCTGCCAATACCACCTCAACCACATGTTAAACCTTTAGTTGCTGCATCAGGAGGAGGTGGAAGGAAGGGGATAGGAGGAGAGGGACTCAGGGTGCTCAGGGCAACAGCTGTTTATTAGTCTTTCGGGAAGTGGTTCAGTATTTTCATAACCAGTTTGGTTGTACGAATGTGCACTGGATGAATATCAGTTCTGTTTATACTTTTTTCCTTGTATTCTGTCTTTAAAATTTTTCTAAGAATGTTTTTTGTAGAGGTTTCATATATAAGTTGATCTTTTAAAAAATTTTGATTTATATCTGCACATTTATTGCTGATGGATAACTTGATTGCCCCTGTTTTTAATTTCCCAAAATCTTGAGGATTACTTAATTTGTAAATAGCAGAATAAATGCTTGAGTTCAAATTTGCAGAATTAAACATTGAAGTTTTACAAACCAATACCATTGTCAGGAATGTTGTATAAATTCATTCATCTGTCTCCTACTCATGAGTGGATGATCTGCACTGTGGATTATCTGTGCTTCATTTCCCTTTCTGACTAAAGTATCCCACACTGTGGCAGCAGGACCAAACCCAGAAGGGGTCACAGCTGGGTCCCCCAAGAGAGAGTGTGAATCTGTTTGTCTGACGGAAGCTTTGTTTATACAAGAGATAGGAAAAGCATTCCAGGACACTTCTGACCTTAATTCTCAGTCAGGCTGATAAGATAGCCACAAGTCATTCTAGCTGTGCTACTGTGTCTGTCTGCCTAAGTCCTTGGCAGCCAGTTTATTCAAAATTTATTCTCAGGGCTTTCTGCTCTGAAATGTTCTTACAGCTACATGCAGATAGTCAATGATACTCAGTTAGGCTGAGTTCCCGGCAGTGTATCTCTTAAAAAGTCTCAAAACTTAAACAAATGATAATTTTATTTGGAAATCTTGAAAATCTTAAAAAAATTATTTGGATAATAATTTTATTTGGAAATCTTGAAATTTTTCTGATTCCTTAAAGGAAAAAAATCTGGTTATACTTTTAAATTGTCTTATTGATAATAATTTATTATTATTTTGTTGAAATAAGATTTCTGCTCCTAAGACTGCCGGCTGATATTGCTAAATGGCTCCTCTCTGCTCTGTCTTTTTTAGATCTTGGGTAGCCTCTTTGTTTCTGTTTTCTTCTTTACTTTCTCGTTGACAAGTCAGCTGCCATTTCTACTGATCTCAGTTTGCCAACTGCTGAACACACCTTAACCCATATTTGTGCTGCTAATTATCTTCTGTGACTTGAAAAACAGAAAAAAAGTATATATTAATAAACAATTGCCCTTGAGTGAATGATTGGAGCTGCTCCTGCCCCTCCTTTTTTTAAGTGAATGAGTTTTAGCACAGTCATTTTACCTTTCTGGATTGGTTGCCCAAAGAGGTTTGGCTTAGTTTTTGTTCATTTGTTTTCCTGGGATCTTTTGATCACGTCATCATGCATATGAACTCATGGCTGGTGTGTGTGTGTGTGTGTGTGTGTGTGTGTGTGTGTGTGTGTGTGACATGCACATGTGTTTGCTGGTACGCATGCAGGTACTTACCCTGCTCGTATTTTTTGAAGGGGAGGGAAGGGAATTTACTTTGAATTGTACTATGTACTGTTTGGTCTAGCTAAGCTTTGCTCACATATCCCATCATGGGTGCTGGGAAACTGCAGCATTGGAGCGAGTTCTCTGAGCAGGTATGCTCTCATTCACTAGGGGGACGAGGGAAGGGAATTTACTTTGAATTGTACTATGTACTGTTTGGTCTAGCTAAGCTTTGCTCACATATCCCATCATGGGTACTGGGAAACTGCAGCATTGGAGCGAGTTCTCTGAGCAGGTATGCTCTCATTCACTAGGGGGAAAAAAAAAGAAGTTGCTTAAATGAGAAAAAGCACCAGATCTAAAGATTGATTAACATCAAAAAATATATAACAAGGGGTTTGAAGATTTCTAGATCCAAACTGGATATGATATCATATAGTGACCCTCAATCAACCTAGATAAGAAAATATTTCCACTGATTATTTTAAATAGTTATAGGCAATATATATCTTCATGTGATAAAGTGATGGATTGAGCAATTTTCCTTCTCGAAAAATATTTCCTTCTGAAGCTTCTCAACACGTATTGTGTTTTATTGAAATATACTTAAACTTTAGATGTATGTCAGTTTTTAAATTTGGTTTGTCTAATAGCAAATTGAACCACAAATAGAACCGTGGGTGTTTTTTAATATGTTCAGGTTGTTTGGAAAATTTGGTTATAATTAATCGTCACTGTCAGAAGTTGTCAAAAAACAACTAGGCAAACATGAATCAACAAGTTGTCAAGTTGAAATTACTGAAACATTCTGTCAATCAAAATGCATGCTATCATTAGCTTCTATGCTATAGAAACAAGTGCAGTAATTGAATAAAGAATAGATTTCTTTTATTACTATTTTTTATATAAGACCAAGGACAAAAGTTGAATGTAATGATGTCTGAGAGATAAATATATACAGCCTTAATCTCGAAAACAAGAAATACTATGTATTTGCTTTAGGAAAAAACAAAAAACAAAAACACAGTATCACTTAAAAATGAAATTCATCTGTATGTAGATTTTTCTTCTTAGTTGGTTCATCCCGTTGTTGGCCCCTTCTCACCCCTGGCTGCCTGCCAGTGACGGTTCTCTTTAGAATTAGTCTATGTACAGTTAATTTAAAAGGCAAGTATGCTTCATAAAGAATGATGAAGCACTTTCTGTCATGCATTTCTTGGAGTGTCCCAACCTTGTTTTGGGTTGTACACATCATTGCTCCTTTCCTGTGAACTTGATAGTCAATATTTGCTTTACAGAAAAGGTAATTTAAATTATTTGCTGTCATTATTTCTGGATGTTATGATTTGAAGTTTTAGCATTATTTGTCAGTTTATAATTTAAGATATTGAAATATTTCCAGGAAATCCTTGGAAAGAGAAGACTTCGAAAAAATAATTGCAGACTACGCAATTGCAGCAGGTAATAGGATTGTTTAAGTATATGTAAATAAGAAGTATATCCTGTCCCCGAAGAACGTATATTTTCTACAAAAATATTCATATTTACATAGCTGTGATTCCAGTATGGTGTGTTCAATATTATATATTGTGTTAATGTAAAGAGTAACTCTTTCATACTTGACCTAAAACATTTCCTCCTTTTTTATTTTTATATTTATTTGCTGAGAAGTAGATAAGTCTGGATGGGAAGCTGACTCACATGTAAAGAGTAACTCTTTCATACTTGACCTAAAACATTTCCACTTTTTTTATTTTTATATTTATTTGCTGAGAAGTAGATAAGTCTGGATGGGAAGCTGACTCACAGACATTCACAGGCTTTGGTCTTGAACCTAAGTATTCCTCATTTATGCATGAAAAAATTCTACTCAAAAAAGTAAAATAAGCAATATTTTTAAAGGTTTTTAAAGGTTGGAAGCAATCATGGGAAAAAGGGATGACAGTGTTCTCACATTTGTAATCAGCTTGGAATTACAAAAATAGATGAATGTCTTTGTCTACTGTACTTTCCAAAGCTTGAGTACATGGACGAAAATGTTGAATCTTTCTAAAAGTTCAAGGTGTTAAGAATTAATAATAATAAAAATAACAGTAACAATAATAATGGCTAACTTATATTGAGCTCTTCCTAGGAGCCAGACTATTCTAAACATAATCCCCACAATCACAGCAGTGCTATGAAGAGGGCGCTGTTGTTTTTTCTACATTACAGATGAGAAAACTGTGGTGCACAATATAAAGAATAAAGCAGTTTAAAGAAGGAGAAACTGTAGAAAGTCAATAATAGTTTCCAAAGCAAATATTTATTCAGGTAACATTAAGCAACAAGAATGATATTTTTCTTGGGAAAAAATACTTTATAATCATCTCTAGACAAAATTGAATTTCATGAGCAGTGATTTTAAATTAATTTCTCTGTCTGATGCTTACACTGCTGGAGGCCCTCTGAAGGGGAGAATGCCTTGATGAACAAGGATTGCTTTTGCTGTTAACAGAAAGGTGGGAAGGCTTTTTCTGAAATGGACTTAAGCCTGGCATTCTAATTTTTCTTTCATAGTTATGTATAAGGAAGATAAAAAGTTGAGTATTATACTCAGTTTGTCACTCTTTTTTAATCAACTGATGTGGAATTGTCATTCAGAGATACCAAAATTTTATAAATTGATCCATGTAGATCATTTAAATATAGGTGTTTAATTTTGGTTGGAATTCTAACTGTCAGATATAAACAGAACTAAATCAGCAAACGAAACAATGTTCAAAATAAGAGTAACAGCACAGCTTTACCAGGTTGACATATTTGATATCGTAGAAAAAGTGTTATATGCTTTTAGGAGTTCCAGTGGAGATCATCAAGGAATCTCTCGGTGAAGAGCTTTTTACAATATGTTACGAGGAAGACGAACACATCCTCGGCGTGGTCGGAGGCACCCTTAAAGATTTTTTAAATAGCTTCAGTACCCTTCTGAAACAGAGCAGCCACTGCCAAGAAGCAGAAAAGAGGGGCAGGCTTGAGGACGCCTCCATTCTATGTCTGGATAAAGATCACGATTTCTTAAACGTTTACTATTTCTTCCCTAAGAGAACCACGTCCCTGATTCTTCCTGGCATCATTAAGGCAGCTGCTCACATATTGTACGAAACCGAAGTGGAAGTGTCATTAATGCCACCCTGCTTCCGTAATGATTGCAGCGAGTTTGTTAATCAGCCCTATTTGTTATACTCCGTTCACGTGAAAAGCACCAGGCCATCCCTGTCCCCCGGCAAACCCCAGTCATCGCTGGTCATCCCTGCATCTCTCTTCTGCAAGACATTTCCATTCCACTTCATGTTTGACAAAGATATGATGGTTCTGCAATTTGGCAATGGCATTAGAAGGCTGATGAACAGGAGAGACTTTCAAGGAAAGCCTAATTTTGAAGAGTACTTTGAAATTCTGACTCCAAAAATCAAACAAACGTTTAGTGGGATCCTGACTATGCTGAATATGCAGTTCGTTGTGCGAGTAAGGAGGTGGGACAACTCTGTGAAGAAATCTTCAAGGGTAAGGACAACATAATATCCTCTTGAGTATGAAATAAGTTACTCCATATTTAAGGACTACAAACAAAAAGGTGAAACTATATGCATCACTTCAAGTGCTTTGGTAAAACATTTAACAGTTAAAACAATTCTAAAATAATTTTAAGGCTGGAATAAACTTAAGACAAAATCCTTTCTGCATTCTTTTCCTTGCTTAACGTGATTCACTACTCAAATATTTGTTGAATGCAATCTGCCTTTTAAAATTCATATTAAGTTTTTTATAAGTAAATAGATAAGTAATTATGTGGAAATATTTTTGCAATGATCACATAGCTGCCTTAGTTTCAATAATAAAGGGTATTGTTTTACAGTAAACAAAAACTGCTTGTTTCTTATAAGAGACAACTAAATGGAGTTTTTAATCAATATTTAACTATACATGGAAAAATAAATAGTTTGATTAATTGTTGCAAAATGTGGGAGAAAAACATATTCTGTCATGGTAGAGAACTTTGGTAATTATTTAGTCTTAGGAAAGAGAGTTTGTTAAGTCATATAGTACCAGCAAAGCTAAAAGACAGACTTTAAACACATACAACACCAGCAGAAGTACTGTTTGTTCCCAAAAATGAAGACAGCTTTATTACTGTTTTTTAATCATAAAATGTTTAAAAATAGGCAATAAAGATGCCCATTGCAGCCAAAAATTAAAAAAAAAACAAAAACAAACAAACAAAAAAAAAAACAAACAAGAAAACGTTTGTTATAAACATTTTTGTTGAAAACAAAAAAACGCTATTTCACAACTTCCTTTTTATCACTCAGCAGTATATTTTGGGCATCCTTCTTTGTCATTAGATATAGGTCTATTTCACTTTCTTCAGAGGCTGTATGGTATTCCATTGCATGGTTGTTCCCTAATTTATTTAACCATTTCCCTAGTGAAGGACATTTAGGTTGCTTTTGACTTTTTGCTGCAGTGAGCACCCATATTTGTCCACATATATGCAAGTAAATCTCCCTGTGATTCAGGATGATCACTTGAAGCCCCACCTCTTACAAGTCCCCAGGGTACAATCTTTTCTGTAGGCTTGTTCGTTCTTTAGTTTGTGTTGTGGAGGGCAGTGGTGGTTAGGTGCTCAAGGCAAAGTTGAAATAAGGAAGTAGCCTCTCCTGCAAGACCCAGCCACCTCATACTGAAGTCTCTGGAAAAATATTGATTCCCAAAAGATAGCTATGACGGAAAAAAAAAAAAAAAAAATTAGGGAAAAAACCTTACCTTTGGAAGCTTTTTAACTTTCATAGATGCCAGATGGAGCAAGTAGTTCATGGGAGAAGAGGGGGAGAGAAAACAAACATGCTAAAACAAGAGAAAAACAAAAAAGGAAAAAAGGAAAAGGAAGGAAGGAAAAGAGGGAGGGAAGGAGGAAGGAAGGAAGTATGTAAGGAAGGAAAGGTAGGCAGACTACCTTCACAAGAGCACCAAAATGTACAGAAATTACAACTCTAGATTAACCAAATGAGAATATCAAAAGAATATAGTAGCAAAAGCATCAGCATGCTGCTCAGTGAGAAGCCTTGAAGGAAGAAATTTTTGCATTATTCATTGCAAATCATTTCTATGTAGAGTATCATCCAATATATTCTTCAAATGTTTGTATGCATTTTAAGACTCATAGCAAATTGGAACTATAAGAAAGCATATTGTTCTTTTTCAGCAAGTGGAAAAAAAGAGTTTAAATACAAAGGGATTATTACTGTGTCTACTTCCTCTCCTTTTGTCTCAGAAAGGCATTGGAAACTTGAATAAACCACACAATTGGATCTCCTTTGTTTCACAGGTTATGGATCTCAAAGGCCAAATGATCTACATTGTTGAATCCAGTGCGATCTTGTTCTTGGGATCACCCTGTGTGGACAGATTAGAAGATTTTACAGGACGAGGGCTCTATCTGTCCGACATCCCAATTCACAATGCCCTGAGGGATGTGGTCTTGATAGGGGAACAAGCCCGAGCTCAAGATGGCCTGAAGAAGAGGCTGGGGAAGCTGAAGGCCACCCTTGAGCAAGCCCACCAAGCCCTGGAGGAGGAGAAGAAAAAGACAGTAGATCTTCTATGCTCTATATTTCCCAGCGAGGTTGCTCAGCAGTTGTGGCAAGGGCAAGTCGTGCAAGCCAAGAAGTTTAGTAACGTCACCATGCTTTTCTCAGACATTGTTGGGTTCACTGCCATCTGCTCCCAGTGCTCGCCACTGCAGGTCATCACCATGCTCAATGCACTGTACACTCGTTTTGACCAGCAGTGTGGAGAGCTGGATGTCTACAAGGTAGGGGTCGAGCACGGCAATGACTGTTTTACCAGCAGAAGTCACTGTGGGTAAAGCACTGTGCGTAGGACCTGAATTAAAATGCACATGAAAGACTTTTTATACAGGGTCATACAAGCCACATCCCGGGAGCAGGCATAGTGCATTAATCATGTGGGTGTTCTCCAGCCAGAAATAGCTGGGAATCTGCTCAGAAACAGAGAGAATTTTTCTATGGAAGGATGGCTACATTGTCTTCCCAAAGAATGAGCATAGAATGGAAGGAGGATAGGCAGAATAGAGGATGAGGTGTAGGACCCGTGTGAAAATGTAGACTGCAGCTGTCAACAGACCAGCCACTTCACTGTTGATACTGAGTTGATTTATTAAGTATGAGATAATTCAAGGAATGACTTATACAGGGAAACTTTATCCTTTGTATCTGTAAAAGTAAAGAAACATGAGAATTAAAAAAATTGTCTTTAAATGGATTAATTCAATAAAGTTAACATGATATCTTTCATGGCCAGATAATGGAAATCAAAATCACCTGCTTAAGGCATTTTTGCAGCTTGGCCAAGTGCAGAGACATTTGAATAAGGGAGACCTGTCTCCCAATCTCATTCTCTACCTTACTTGCTTTGTAAACTGAGCAAGTGAAATAAACTTTCTCATTTCTAAAACAGAAAAAATAACATCCACCCCCAGAGTTTACATGCATGACTTATACACATTACGCCCCATGATCTTCATGAACAGGAGTGTTGTAAAGATCATGGTAGATAATATATGTTTATTCATCAGACATCCAGGATTGATTGAATGCCTGTGATCAGCCAGGCATTATTCCAGGCACTGGGGACACATCAATAAATGTCCCTGACATAGTAAGTTGGTTTTTTTTTTTTAATATAATTATTAGTAAGAGAGCTAATGAAGAGATTTCAAATTCTTCCTGCTTCTTTAGAATTAAAACAGGTTGCTGTTGTTTTTTTAACTGGTTTAAATTATTTTGCCTAGTTTTGGATACAAGCATTAAGAATAAGGCTTGCTTCTCATTTATGTGGCTTGTAACATCCTCTTGATTTGCCACATAACAATCTGGCATTCCAGAGCTTAACCCAACATGAAATAAATTATTGAGGAGGAGACAAATAACATTTATGAGAATACATAAACCCTTGCCATATTACATTCTAGATGCTGCAAGTAAAACCTTCCTTTTTGAAATTTCTAACAGGAAATTCCATGATTCCCTTGGGAAAAAAAGAGGTCATGTATAATTACAGATAATATAATTGGCTCCAGTTAGGTTAAGTTTGATGGCCTCTTGTGGAATTTACTATAATTATTTGTGGACATTTTCGATCCTGAGAATGTCTCCTTTCTCAGCATTGAGAGAAGGAAGCCTTTCTCTCCTTTTTAAACTGCTATGATTTCTAGGAGGAGGAGTAGCCCTCTTCTACTTTTGGTTATTTCTACCATGGGTATAATGTAGAATATCAAGCATTTGGGAACTATGCTCCTTCCTACAAGGACAGCAGCCACAGAGTTCCCTGATTAATCCAACTGTAGCTGGAGCTACAGAGGAAATCACCTTCAGTCCTCATTTCCACTTTCTTGTCACTTATGATTTTGCATGAAAATACCTGCAGGTAGCTAAAAATAAATAAATGTCTTCACCATAAATTTCAGATATACAAATCATAGGCTGACCTATGAGTGTGATGGCTTCCTAGGAATAGTCAATTTTATTTATTCCAGGATCTGATTGTACCAGGACTTTACTTAACTTCAGTTTTCTTTCTGTCTTTAGATCTTTTGACCATTTTTAAACTCTATTTATATTTGTATTCATTTATCCATTGTTTTAGCAAATGTTTACTGGTTGTCCAGTATTTGCCAGCATGTGGCAGCAATGGACACAGAGATGGACACAACCCCTATAAGAAGAGTTCACATGGGGGTTGGGGAGGCAGAATTGACAAGTGCCAGATTTCCCATGTGACATGCTGGATGTCTGCTTCCACCCAAGTGTTTACAGGATGCTGAAAATAGGAATAGGAGAAAAGAGAGAATAGGCCTCTAACACCAACCACAGGTTACGGTTTGGACTTCTCCTAATTAGTTTATCTATTGAACACCTGTGATATACTAGCCACTGTGATGAGCACTTTTTATGCATTTATTGCTGAGGAAAAGCTCATGGGAGGCATTGCTGCCTGGTTTATTCATTATTGGGTACTGGCAATACAGGAGTCGGTAAAATAGACAAACAGAGAGCTTGCATTCCATTAGGTGAAAGACAGATCATAAACAAATAAGTTCATTTATAGTATTCCAGTTAGTTTTAATATTCTAGAGGAAAAATAAAGCAGGTTAAGGGAGAGAAAAGGCGCATGGTTAGGAGTGATTGCTCTTTTCACAGAGGGTGGTTGGGATAGGCCTTTCTAATAACATTAGACATTTTAGTAGGGACAGAAGGAAATGAGGGACAAGCCAAATGTTTTTACTGCAGAGAGTTTGTTCCAGGCAAAGAAACAGCACTTGGGAACATGTTTGTTATGTTTGAGGGGTAAAAGGAGGCCAGTAACATTGAAACAAAGTGAGAAAGAGGGAGGATTGGGAGATAAATCAGGGATTAGTAGAAAGACAGGTCAAGAAGAACTTTGGAGCCATTATAAGAGTTTCAGCATTACTCTGAGAGAAATGAAGAATGAATGGAAGTTTGCCCCCTCTTTCTTTCTTCCTTTCTCACCCTCATCCCTTCAAAATGGAGGCCTTGGATAAGAATAGTGTTATGATCCAAGAAGTTACTATAAATATTTAGAGGAAAAGAAAAATGCAACTCTCAGAATTCAGGGGGTTATTCGTGGGTTTAAATTAACTATTAGCTTTCTACAGCCAGTATCATGGACAGATAAAAATTACCTGCAACAACAATGATAGTGATGACAATGATGATAATAATATTTGAATTTACATAATACCTTGACTTCCAATAGCCTTCTAAGCACCATCGTTTTTGTCTCCTGTTTGACATTTTAATTTCTATACTTTGTAATTAATATCCATGTGGACATTTAGTAATTGCTATGAGTACCCCCAGGTCCTTTAGAAAAGCCATATTTCTTTTACTCTTTTGTCTTAATTTCTTAGTTTTACATTGCACAATTTTTGCTATATCCATATAATATTTATTGAGTAGTGATTTCATGCACAACACTATTTTATGATGAGAGGGGAAATAAAATGAGTAAATCATCCCAATATCTTTCAGCAATTTATTATAAATCTAAAATAGATCATTTGTTTCTGCAAAATCTATTTTACATGGTGGGAAAAAAAGGTTAAATGACATAAGTCAGTGGCAGATCTGGGAGTAGAAGCCACCTGATTTTATTTATTTATTTTTTTTGATGGCCGACCAGCACAAGTATCAAACCCTGGACCTTGGTGTTATCAGCACCACGTTCTAACCAGCTGAGCTAACTGGCCAGACCTGCCACCTGATACTGTGTTCACAGGATTATTCTGCCTCTTAGTTCAGTGCCCTGATGTATGGGGTCTAATACTTGTGAATTTCCCGAAAGCTGTTTCTGAGAGTATCTGATTTACCCTGATTCTCCACAGGGCCTGAGCACTGAGATTTCTGCTATATGATGTATGCTGTGATTCTTCCTGAGCTTTTGTTTATAATATGGAAAATATACTATGTCTAGGTGGAGACTATTGGTGATGCATATTGTGTGGCTGGGGGACTGCACAAAGAGAGTGATACCCATGCTGTTCAAATAGCACTGATGGCCCTGAAGATGATGGAGCTCTCTGATGAAGTCATGTCTCCCCATGGAGAACCTATCAAGGTAAGGCAGATGGTATATTGTCCAGTATATTGTCCAGGAGATGTCGTGAGAGCTAGTGTGTACTAGTTAGTTATCAAAAGAATGGTGTATTAATCAGGGGTTAGTTGCAGAGAGAAAAAATCTTCTCTAGGTTTTTTAAGCAGGAAAAAATTTACTATAGAGTATTACATGGCTTACGGAATCATTGAGGGGACAGAAGAAGCCATCTATAAGTAGAGCTTTTAAGAAATGGTTCCCAAAGCCACACTTCAGAACCACTGCTTTATCCATGATCTGGAAGCTGACTCCGGAAATATACCACCACAGCTATGGTCAGGAAGCTACTGTGTTCAGAAGCTACTGCTTCTACCGCTGGCAACAGAACAAAACTGCACAAACTGTAATATGAATCAGCAAGATGGAAATCCTGCCTCATGGTCGTCACCAGATGAGTGACTAGAAAGCGGGCTCTCTGCTAAGCATGCCATAGAAAGCCCAAAGCCTTCCACAATTGTGCTTGTACTTGGAAGCAAAAGAGGTGCAGGCACAGTGGAAATCCCACCTTCCAAGTCTACTGCAAGTGCATCTGAATCGCCAAACCTAAATGCGCCTAGAAGCTGCAAGGCAGTTTGGAAAATGAAGCTTTTAGTTTTCCAGCCCTTGCAGGAGAGAACACTGCACTAGACTGGATGTTGACTAATAATGCACCAGTATTTTCTAAGGCACATAACATTTCAAAATTTGTTCTGTATGAGCCAGATCCTAGAATAATGTCTTATTGCAGATGAGAGAATAAAATGAACATGCGAAGCATTGGTTGAATAGAACACAAGTGAATTACGTCTTTTTGTCCTACTTGTAGTGAATCTGTCACATAATTTTTACAGAAAAGTTCTCAATTGATGACCTTCAGAAATGGACTTTCAAAGTAATATAGAATCCAATCTGGTATGCTATAAGCTACGTACAGAGGAAAGAAAAAAAATAAAAAATGAAACTGTAATATTTAGAGGTTTAGCCTTGACCTTCTTTAACCTTAACAGAAGTCATATGTCTAAGTCTTCACAACTGTTTCTAAGTCTGTTCTTGTCCCATTTATATGTTGCTGTGTGGCATAGTTCCCTCAGTTTAGTGGTGAAAGTCACTAAAACCTTTTATTATGCATGGGTTTTGTGCATTGGAATTTGAATAAGGCATAGAAGGGATACCTTGTCTTTGCAACACAATATCTGGGACCTCAGCTGGGAATATTCAAATGATTGAGGGTGCCTAGAGTAGGTGGGATTGAAACACTTGAAGCTGGAGGAGCCATTTCAAGATGGCCACCTCATGTAAGTGAGGCCATCTTGAAGCTTATGTGAAGTGGCCATCTTGAAATGGCTCCTCCAGCTTCAAGTGTTTCAATCCCACCTATTCCATGCCTGATTCCTTGGTGAGGATGGCTGTCAGAAGGGGCTCAGCTGGGACTGTCAGCCCAAGTGCCTACATGTGGTACTCCACTGTGGCGGTCTCAGAGTAGTCACATTTCTTACACAGTGGTTCATGTCCCAGTGAACAAGATGGATAGAAGCTGCACGGCCTCTTATGACCCAATCTTGAAACACACACAGTGACACTTCTACTATATTCTATTGGTTAAAGCAATCATAAGTCTGTTCAGAGCAGAGGGAGCTTAGACCCTATGTCTTAATAGGAGGAGTGTGAAATAATTTGTGACTATAATTTTTAAAAGTTATTTATTTGTTTATTATTTTTAAACAACTTTATTGGGATATAATTTATATACCATAAAATTTACCTATTCTAAGTGAATAATACAATTCAGTTATTATTGGTAAATTTACAGAGTTGTACTATCATGATAATCCAATTTTAGAACATCTTCATCATTCCCAAAAGATCCATTCTAGTTCCTACCCACACTCCCAGGCAACCACTTATCTACTCTCTATCTGTGTATTTGCCTATTCGGGACATTTCATATAAATGGAATCATACAATGTGTTTCCATTGCGTCTGGCTTCTTTTACTCAGCATAATGTTTTTGCAGTTCATCAGTGCTGTAGCATGTATCAATACTTTGCTTCTTTTTATTGATAAATAATATTCTATTGTATGGATATAATGCATTTTGATTTTTGACTGTGTTTTAAAAGTACCACAGTATTTGACTTTTCCTAACTTAATTTCTATAATTGCATTGTTTTAGAGGGGAGTTATGTATTTCTTTCTCTTTCTAATTTTTTGTGAGGGAACTCATAATATCATAGTAAATATTAAATATCCAGACTATTAACAATAAGACCAGTGATTTCCATGTAAATGGATTTTGTAATTAAGATGAGTATGTTTGGGGTATGTCAGGGGTATTAGCGGCAGGGTCTTTGTTATTTATAGAAATGTATTTTTAGATGTTTGTAATTGGAAGAATTATTTATAGCTAGTTTCAAAGACAATTATCTGACTAACAATAGGTTAGCTTTGATGACCTGTAAAGTGAGACATGAAACATACCTTTTTATGTGTACTGACTTACAGTCCTGGGAAATATCTGATGGCCTTAGGAGTCACCTGTGAAACATCACAGAGGCAGAGTGGAGAACATTTTTAGTAGACAGAGAAACATTAATATGCATTAGAAGGGAGCATATTGTGACTTACACTTTGCCTCATTTAATCCTTACAACAGCATTATGAAGAGGAATCCACAATTCCCTACTGGACAAGAGTAGTCGATTCCCTCATCTGTCAGGATTTGGAGCCATGTGCATCTGGCTTCAAAGCCCAGGCTTTTTCTACTTCTTAGCCTGCTACCTCATGGAATAAAATAGAAGTGAAAGAATAGAAAATATTTTCTTTTTTTTCTTTTCAAACTTTATGCTTTCCTCCAACATGTCATATGTGCAAATCATTTACCTACTCACCATTTGATCTTTTCATTAACATCCATACACTCAGGCTTAGAAAACTGCAGGTGGACTGGCATAGAGAACAGAGGGCTGAATGTAACAATGAGTCTCTAAGTAGTAAGTGGACACAGAAGCAAACTTCTGGTACCCCTCCTTTCCTATTCCCAGAATCCTGTTATGAAAAAATGGGCTATGCTAAAAGTGGTCCACAAATAGAGGACTTCCCCAGCAGGTTCCCATTCAAGCTTTTACTGGGAGCCAGAATTCTGTCTTTCCCTTTCATATTTCACATAGAAGTCTGTTACCAGTGACAAGAGATGCTTTCAGGGCATGATGTGTAGCTAAAACTTTGGATCATTTTCTTGCTCATGAATTTGAAACGCTCTTTGCTGAGAAAACTTTGAGGGTGAGAGTGAGATTTAGAACTGGAGATGGGGAGGAAGGAAGAGCAGCATGGGAGAAATCAGAGGAGCATTTGCTTGACCTGCATTGTTTGGATTTGTATGAGGAGAATATATTTATGTATTAATTATGAAATAAAAAGATAAATATTAAAAATGCCATGGTAAATTTATCATACAAAAATCAAGAATAACTAAGTACAGTGAAAGGAACTGGTATAACTAGAAAAGTGCCTCAAAAGAGCAAAAACTTCTCAATCAAAATGTGCTAAAGTCATGGCTGATATTTATGGGCAGAAGATAGTCTTTACTCACCTTTTTATTTTTTTTCGTATTGTACAATTTTTACACGTGTAATACTATATTTTCCTAAGGAAGAAAAAGCCATATGTAACAGACATCTAAGTTTCGATTCTTAAAGTAAAACTCTGATGAAGAAAGAGCTTTAAAAATAATCCAACCCTGCATTTTATAGATGAAGAAATGGTCAGAGGAAAATAAGAGGCTTACAGAAAGTCAGACACCAATTGCTAGCAGAGTTTAATTTAGAATGTGAATCTCTTGATTCATAATCTAGTGCTTTTGTTTGAAGATTTTGTAGAATTCATGATACAACATCTTAAAAGCAAATAGTTCTGGAAAGTTTCTAGCAGAAATCTGAAGTTATCTGTAAAGCTGAGCAGAACTGGAGTCTTCTGATTTCTAAATTATACCTAAGTTACCGAATACTTGGCCTTTATTCAAAGAGTGTATATTTAATAAGACTTTCTTAAACGGTCAACTAAACATAGAACTTGAAAATAATGAACATGGTGTCTGATTGTCATTTAAAATATTCCTGCTTTAACATTTTAACTTGTTTTGTGGTAGCAGTAATTTAAGGAATTGGCATGCTTTAAGATCATCAAGTAATCAGAGCTTCTAGAAAATCCCATTTAAAAATATTATCTCAGTGTCTTCCCAAATCATTAATTATTAATAATCATTAATACATCATTAATCTAGATGTGGCACAACTTTGATTTTACATGGGTCCTGACTTTTAGCTTAGTGTCTCTGGTCACTGTCATCTGGACCTAAGCAACTCCAGCTTTCTTCTTCCTCTGTCATTTTCTGCTTAGATATTATAACTTCCTTTCCTTAGTTGTTAGTCATTTGAATAGTGGGATAGTGTTTGGCATAAAGCTATGTTAACACAAAATCTCTAAAAAAACACATTTTCTATCCTTGGAGCTAGCTTTATTTGCTCTCTCTGCTAGTGTTTTGGGAAACAACTCCCAGGTTTCGGAAATTATGCCTGTCTCACTTGATGGACAGAGCGGGCTTACATAAATATCTCATAGACTCTTCGTTACCTTGCCATGGTGACTATGACAGGTGTGTGTGGAAATTTGCTTCAGATATTAAGACAGACAAAATAAAAATGGTCTGTATAATAAACCTAAATGCATAAATGGAAGAGAGTTAAGGAGTGTGACTACTGATTGTGCATTAGTAATTTTTAATTGCATGTGACTAGTAGAGAGAAGTTGGCTAGAGGTTCTGAGGAAGAGAGTGGTATGGGGTGAGTGAATGGTAAAATAATTTAAATGGGACATTTAAACAACACTGACCAGCGGGAAGTGTTTTACCAGTGACCAGGAACATTGTTACTTTTTGCTTTCAGATGCGAATTGGACTTCATTCTGGATCAGTTTTTGCTGGAGTTGTTGGAGTTAAAATGCCCCGTTACTGTCTTTTTGGAAATAATGTCACTCTGGCTAACAAATTTGAGTCCTGCAGTGTACCACGGAAAATCAATGTCAGTCCAACAACTTACAGGTATTAATTGGATTAAGCACCTGAAATATATTTTTAAATTTATTTATTTATATACAATTGTGATTTTTTTTCCCCACTAATTTGATTCATTCTCCATAACTACTTTCTTGCTTAGGTAACTTTAAAGGAAAAAGAAAAGCAATAACTTTTATCATCCTTAATTTAACTTTTCAAAAAACTATTCAGCCTCAGGAGAATGACTTTCCCAAGATATAAGTAGCCTGAAAGGTTTATTTCTTACAGTTCAAGGTCTCGGGGACACATCTGGTGAGGGCCTTCTTCTTGGTGCGAGTTCTTTGCAGAGTCCCAAGGCAGCACAGGGAATCAATGGCAAGGGGGCAAGAGCGCATGTTAATGTGCTCACTCGCTCTCCTAATAAAAACCCCAGTGCCCCTCCTGTGATAACCCACTCATCCATTGAGTTACTGATCCATTACCGTATGAATGGATCAATCCATTCATGAGGGCATAGCCTTCGAGATCTAATCAGGTCCCCCCCTCCACACTGTCACATTGGAGATCAAGCTTCCACATGAGCTTTAGAGGGGACCAACATTCAGACCATAGCACTCTTCTCAGAGGTAACTCTTTTATAGCATATTCTCTCTCCTTAAAGCTCCAGTGCCTTTCCTTTCCAGCCTAGACTCTCAGTTGATAAACTTGCTTCATATTTACAACACTAATAGAACAGTCAGATAAGAACTACACTATCTCCGTGCTGTAAATTCCACGTCATAGCTACGCCAGTCCCTGTGTCTTTGGCCTTTGTTCCTGTTGCACTGGGCCAGCTGCCTCACCCCTGTTTGAATACAGTTTTGCTGATATTTCCTCTTACCTTCTCAAGAAGTTCTCCTCCTTAAAGTAACTGCTTTCTGTCCATGATCAATTTCTCTTTGATTAAATGATTCCCAACAGAACAGAAGCCTATCTTACTATTAAAGTTCCTGAAAAAATAAAAACTCTTATAACCAAGTCCATCTCCTACTACCCCCTTCCATTTCTGCTCCTTTTTACAGCAAAACTCAAAGGAGTCATCTGTGTTCACTGTCACTATTCTTTTTCACCTCTTACTCTCTCTTCAGCTCATTCCAATCCGTGTTTGTCCCTTTTGCTCCACTGAGATGGCTTTTATTGGGGTCATCAGCGTACCTTGCTAGAATCGTGGTCAGTTCTCTCTCCTTATCTCAACATCCTCAACATCCAGTAACGACTGAATAGGCTGAACACTCCGTCCTTTAAATGCTTCTTTCTTTAGGTTTTTTTTAACGCCAGGCTCACCTGCTTTTCTCCTTTCCCCATGGTTACACCTTCTTGGTGGCTTTTGTTGGTACACCTTTCCTACCAAACCTTTAATGTTGTACTGCCCAGAACTCTCTCCTTATTCTCTGAGTCTAAACTTTTATGACTGTCACCATTTTTTTTTTAACTCTAGCCCATCTTATAATTCTCCATGGAGCTACAGACTCATATATCCTATTCTGTATTTCCACTTGGGTGACCGACTGACATATTAAACTAACTTGTTCTGATAAGAACGAGTGACTTCCCACACTTCCACACACTCCACCCTAACAAAATCCACTTCCCGGCCAGCCAAGCTTCACTAGTCACCTTAAAATGGTGCCACCATCTGCTTAGTCACTCTGACCATGGACCTTGCTGTGACCATTCCTTCCTCCCCCTCACAGCCCCCTCCACCCCCACATTACTCCCGAATGCGGCTTTCCTCACCTGCTTCAGTGCTGCACCCCAAGCCAGGCCGCAGTTCTCTCTCCCACCTGAACTGACCCAGGTTCATTCTCCTCTCCCTGTTCTCTCTGGTGTTTGCCTTCTCCTCACAGTGCCTCATCCACACAGTGCCCAGATTATACTTGCATTCCTAAAGTACAAATCAGATCTTGTCATTCCTGCATTAAAGACCTTCTATTGACAATCAGAATAAAATTGAAACTTTTTACCACAGACCAAAGTGTCCTGTTTGGTTAGTGTCCTGCCAGCCTCTGCCACCTCATTTTCTTCCATTTTCTCCTCTATTTGCTGATCTCCTTCCACCCTGGCTTCGTTTCTGTTCATCAGACTTGCTAAGCTGATTTCCTGAATCAATGATACTTTCTGTTCCTTCTGCTTTACATTTTTCTGCTGGATCATCCCATCTGCTTCATTCTCACAATTAAACCTTGCGTTAAATATGACCTCCTCAAAGTGACATTCCTTAACTATCATAGCTAGAGCAGCCACCTTCCCCACTATACCCTCACATTTTCCTGTATCTGAAATTGTCTTATGTATTTATTTATGCGTTTATTGCCTGCCTCTCTTTGCAGAATGTATACATTCTAAATCCCCAGCTTTTAGATCAGGACCTGAAACACAGAAGAAAACAATGAGTATTTATATGGGTTGATTGTTGACTATTTGATACGAAAATAATTCAGTAGAATGTGAGAACTGAAAAATCCCTGGGGATCATCGTAACAGTAATTGACCTATAGTCTGACCAAGTACAATAGGTACGGAGGAGGAATCAGTGTGCTGAGAGGGTATGATTCTGCTCTCATTGTAGGCATTAAGAGGAATCATCCTATTAATAATGTAAGTCAGTAGCTCGTCCTTTCACTGATACCTATGCTGCTTTCTCAGTGTTCAGTGATATATGCTGTACATGTGCATATTAGGGAGTCCTGGTGTGTATATCTACTTGTAAAATGAAATCTTTACACATGAAAACTATATTTTCTGTTTCTTCTATTTCGATTGCTTTTAAGCAGTATAAAACTAAACTCTATAAAAAATCTTTTGTTCCTTATCTTAAAGTCTGGTGGCCTTGAGTCATATGAGGAGACATTGATCTTAACTACTGATTTTACTCCTAATATATAATTGATCTCAGGTATTCCAACAGAGGATCGTGACATGTTGATACACATTTCCAGCAACAGCACAAGGCTCATGACTTAAAGTTTTAGGTTTATTCTATTGACAATGTTCCCAGAAATGTACATACAGATTTTTTATGTATTTATATGAATATATGAATAATGAAAATTTAATTTAATTTGTAATGAACTTCAATGCATTTGCTAAAGTCGTATCCACTTTTTACAGACAAATCTCATATGGTTTTTTAATCTTTTTTTATTGATTTGAATATTAATTTATTTTCCTTTTATTCTTACATAGAAAATATTTATGTCTTGTCTAAAGGGCAAACAATGGTTAATATGCTTTATTTAGGAAAGAAATAAATACTTAATGTGAAAGGCTTTTAACAGCATTTTAGAATCTTTTCTTTTAGAGGTACTTCATTTTTCCCGCATATGATAGGAAAACTTAAAAGGGGATAGATAATTTAAATTTTAATCAGATGTCAATGCTTCGTAAAATTTACTTAATAATAGCGACATAATTTGAGTTTTACTCAAAATTCAGGACAAGCAGTAGATGCTACTAGAAGATGTACATATATAAAAGGTAATAATTTCTTGGAAGAGCTTTACTGGTAGTACACTGAATTTTGGGATGACTTTTCTCAAATAATAAAAAAATCTGTTTAATACAGAATGAAGCATCTTTGATATACATCTGAAACATGTAAATTTAGGACAGAAAATACATACCCATGTTTTAAAAATCCTTATTTTCAAATTTTCCCTTCCAAATTCTAATCTGTGATTCAGAATGTAGCTATGTGATGACAGTTATAAATTCCTTTCTTTAAAACCTCAGAAGGAACTTTACTTTTATTTTAGGAGACAATATCCTCCTGCATTTTTGTTTGCTTTTATTGAAGTGAAGAAAACTAACAGAGACTACATTAGATATTGTTAGTTTCAGGTCAGTAGATGAATGATAGAGGATTTCGTGGTGATTCAGGGACCATCTAAGACAGAAATGTCAGGTGGGTGGTACAAGTGGATGCTGTCCGGTGTGGGGTGGGTAAAGAGACCCAGTTACTCTTCTTTGTAGCAGAGTTCTGAGAACATAGTGATAGAGAAGCAGGACTTGGATTTTATAAGGCGAAGGAACAACTTGAATAAAGGAGTATAAGGCGGATAACCGAAAGTAGGAGAGTTGCTGCGATAACTTGGGGAAAATAGTATCAAATCAAGAGGGAGTAGAGAAGAACTTGTACCGTGTGAGGACGTCTGGACTATTGCTGTTTTCCTTGGGTGTTGATGCCATCAAGTTTTTATCTCAGTATTTTAGTCCGTTTTGTGTTGCTATAACAGAAATACCTGAGACTGGGTAATTTATAAAGAACAGAGGTTTACTTGGCTTACGATTCTGGGACAGCTGCATCTGGCACCAGCCTCAGGCCGGCGGGTACAAGCAGATCACAGGGCGAGAGGAAACGAGAGAGAGAGAGAGAGAGAGAGAGAGAGAGAGAGAGAGAGAGAGAGAGAGAGAGGGGGGGGGGGGGGGGCTG